AAAAAAACTCTATATATATATATATATATATATATATATATATATATATATATATTCCAAATCATATTTTATTTTATATTGCAAGGCAAGCTAATGCCATTGGGTGGAAATTCAACTAAACTATGGCATTTGATCATTTTACCTGTATAATGGAAGGCCATTTTCTTGATGTTTTACCGTGTGAAAATTATCTGACTAACATCGTCTCAAAATTGTAGACTTGTTGCAGAGCTGCTAGTATTCTATCTCATATATTGAAGGACCATCTCCAATGCAAGGAAAGGGTATGCCAATATTTCCCCACTTCATTGTATTTTGAGCTTTATTCTACTACCTGTTTTGGCAGAGTTAAGGACTCTAGAGTTCATTGGGTTTAATCATTATGCATAAATAATTTTAGTTTTATGACTAAAAACAATTGACGCACTCAATCATAACTTGGTAAAATTATAACCTATGGATATACTATTATAGAACTTAGAAAGGTATTCTACTTTCTACCACACGGGATATGGTATTTGGTATCCAATTTCTTCTTCCCCCAAAAGTTTATTTTTACTCTACAAGTGAAAATAGAGGAGAAAATAATTATTTTAAATATTGCAGTTGATAAGTTATTCTGCATTCAGGATTAAATTTAAATAGAGACATTATCATATATCTATCAAGTTAGGATGACTGAAAAATAGAAAGAATTTTATACAAATAAAAATAAACTAAATAGTAAGGTTTCTAATTTGATGATCTATTTGGCATGCAATAGCTTGTTCAAAATTGAGAAATTAACGGATTTTATTCTTTGGCATATAGCTAATAGGCAGATTGTGGATTACATAAATTCAATTTGTAAATGCACTTTATGCATGTAAGATGTGTTATTCAGAACTTTGTGGCATGGTGTATAAGTTCATAATTACTGCTCTCCAAATGCTTCTTTTGCACTAGATGTTGGTTTTCCACATTTATGTGTGTATGAACAGTTAGATTAAAAAGGAAAGTTCAGAGAAATCTTACGAAGAGAAGTTGCAGGTTTTACGAATTGAAATTGAGGCAGCACCCATGCAATCTTTAGGAGCTCCAGAGCCACTAATGCATCGAATGGTGAAATATTTGGCTGTTGCTTCTTCCATGAAATCCCAAGATGGGAAGTCTAGTACATCAGGAAACTCTTATGTTCAGGCCATTATCTTGAAATTACTGATAACCTGGCTAGCAGACTGCCCCAGTGCAGTGCACTGCTTCCTAGATGCTCGCCCCCACCTTACTTATCTTCTTGAGCTGGTATCAAATTTGTCTGAAACAGTGTGTATAAGGGGTTTTGCAGCAGTTGTCTTGGGTGAGTGTGTGATCTATAACAAATCCACTGACAGCGTAAAAGATGCATTTGCCATTGTTGATGCAATAAGTCAGAAAATCGGGCTTAGTTCATACTTTTTGAAGTTTGATGAGATGCAGAAAAGTTTAGTTTTTGTTAATGTGGGGTCATCCCTGACCCACAAATCATTCACTAGATCTTCAGCGACTAGCCCGGAAGATATTGAAGATGTAGATGAGAATGATATGTCAGAAAAGAAAAATCTGGACCATCCGATTCTCTCTTCAATCTTGGATTCTAACTTTGTGAACCTTGTCAAAAGTCTAGAGGCAGATATTAGAAAACAGATTGTGGATGTTTATAGTCGTCCAAAAATGAAGGTGGAAGTGGTGCCAGCAGAATTAGAGCAGAGGAGTAGTGAAAGTGATGGCGAGTATATAAAACGGCTGAAAGCTTTTGTTGAGAAACAGTGCACTGAGATACAGGTATTATTTGTGCATGTCTGTTTCTCTTTAAAATATTCCCGCTGTAACTGTTACATGTGTCATGAGTCTGTTATTTTTATGTACTTTACCTGATTGTAATTAGGAAGGTGCAGGTTGAATGTACTTAAGTCTTCAAATTCCATTTGCTTAAAGTGAGAATTAGTTTTAAATGTTATCCATCCATATGATAACATTTTCAAAAACATTTTTGTTACGTGTTTACTAGCATATACTGCTGTCAGCTTACATCTTTCTCAATTTGTTCGGCAAGTCAGGTTTGTTTCTGATAGTTACCACATTAATCCATCAGATGTTAATAATTATTACTTTGACATGTTCATCCCTTGAGATTTCATTACAATAGGTAGGTAGTATGAGGACGCAGGAGGCTTCGAACTTGTCACATGTATCTGATTTGGTGATTATTTTTTCTTGTCATCATCTCAGGATCTTGTTCTTCGAAATGCTACTCTGGCTGAGGACCTGGCTAAGACAGGTAGTACCTTGCAGCCCGAGCAAAGAGCGAGTGGGGGTTCAGACAGAGTCCAAATAGAGACGCTCCGTAGAGATCTTCAAGAAGCATCTAAAAAATTGGAGATGCTTAAGGCAGAAAAGGCCAAAGTTGAATCGGAGGCGATAATGTATCAGAATTTAGCTGGAAAGACAGAAGCTGATCTAAGGAGTCTGTCTGATGCCTACAATAGTCTTGAGCAATCTAACTTGCAACTGGAGAATGAGGTGAAAGCACTGAAGAAAGAAGGGCACTCAGCATTCCCAGATGTGGAGGCAATAAAAGCTGAAGCAAGGGAAGAAGCTCTGAAGGAAAGTGAGGGTGAACTGAATGATCTGCTTGTATGCCTAGGGCAAGAACAAAGCAGGGTAGAGAAGCTTAGTGCTAGATTGTTGGAGTTGGGTGAGGACGTTGACAAACTACTTGAAGGCATTGGAGATGATGCTGGGGCTGCTGAAGATGGTGAAGATGAGGAAGACGATGAATAAGATATTTTTTATCTGTGCCCCACTTTATACATTTTATGTTGAATTGTACAGTCTAACATATACTATGGAGAATGGAGTAGTGCTTATATTCCGTATTTGCATTTTAAATTATGATTCTTGCTGGTTTTATTTTGCAATATTCAGGGGTGATTAAATTATCTCTACATTTTCTTGTCTTTCTCTTTTGTAGTCTAAACCTATCAAATTTGTGGGAAATAATTTAAAGGCCAATATTTGTATTCTGTTTATATATTTAGATGAGGATTATGTTATTGTACAATTTGTGTGTTCTTACGATGTATGCTAAAATTAGAAGTCTCTTTATATTGAAGTATAAAAATTTGTAAAAAAATTAACTTCAAAATCTTTATATTGAAGCATAAAAATATGCAGGAAATAAACAGTACAGTGATTTGACAAAATGTGATTAGGAACAATCATCAGCTGTAAAATGGCTCTACTCTTTAATAAAGCATTGTTCTTTCTTCATCCAAAATATTAAGAGGTGATAAGTTTCTATTATGTTGTATTTTATGTATATCATCCTATGTTCACTATACTATTAAATAAATCAGCACGACATTTATATCACAAATTTATTTATTATCTTTCAACACACTACAAATTATATGTCGTATCACTTGGATTTGATAATAATGACAAACCTACATTATAACAAGAATGGATAAATACATCTCCTTACTTTAATTAACTTATTAATGTGTTTTAAACATATTGTATTTTGCGATTCTAATTTTATATATTGAATTTATTGATGACTATTAAGATGATTATTAATTTTTTTAAAACAACTGTCCTAGTGTCGTAACTAACCTAAATTCTTGGATCTGCCATTGTCTGACAGGTACATACAACCTTTGCTCATAGGCCGGAAGAATACAGGAACCAAAAGAATTTTGATAACCAAAAATAAATAAATCAATGAAATAAGGTGAGAATCAATTAAGAATGAGCATGCTCTTCCTCCATTCCACTTTGGTAGCTAGTGCAATCAGCAAGCACGAAATTCAAATCAGCTTAGTCTAATACAAGTGTCTCGGAACCTTCCACAGAGATGATCTTATTTAAAGCATTTTAAAAAATGCAAGCCTTCAAATTCCTACCCTCTGAATATAACCAACGACATCCTTATCTCTGATCTTGTTTCCGTTATCCTCAATCACATTAAACACTGAAAAAAAATCAAATTAATACCAGGATCAGAAGCGAAGTTGAGAATAATATTAATTATTATTATAATAATACTACTTTTAGATTTTTCCCCCTTCTAGCTTGCCACTGATGAAAAAGGGAACTTACCATCCATGAACCACACAACGCATAAGAGGAGATGTAGGCCTTTGCTATTACTGATTACAAGGTTCATATCTGAAATAACTTGAACAACATCCAAGAGAATCCCATTTCTGTTGATACTATCAACCTGCAAAACTCTTCAGACAATAAAAAAGTTGATAGCTGATTTTCTTTTCCAAAAAAGAAATTGACCTTAAAAAAAATAAAAAAACCAAAATAATTGCAACCAAGGATCCTGTAATATCAAATCATTGGAAAATTTGAAAGAAGAAAAAAAACAGGAAGAATCTTTCTGATTGTCAACTCAATTTTGTGAACCAAAACAGAGGAAAACACCAACTTTATAACATCCAATCATTAGAAAAACTGAAAGAAAAAAAAGAATGAAGAATCTTTCTTATTGTCAACTCAATTTTGTGAAACCTAACCAGGGGAAAACTATCAGCTTTACCTGAATAACAGTGGCATTTTCTCTTTTCATAGGCATTGTTCTCGATCACAACCCTGATGCAAGAGGCAAGTCACACAAAACAACACCACTCATTCTTATGAAAATAATATACTTGCACAAGAATTCATACATGGAAATAACGATTATCAGATCAAATCACATGTAAACACATGCCAAAAAGGCCAAGATGAACCATATGCTAAAGAAATTTCAACCAGTAAAAAAATTTGACCAAGTATAGTTTTATTTTTTCTAAAAGAAAAACATTTTGAAAACATAGTATGTTACATGACTCACTAAATTGGAGAAAAGAACCGGGCAAGGAACTTCCATATCAGTGGGAAAGTTGAAAACACCAAACTGCTAAAAGAGATTTAATTTTATACCCCACGTGATTAAAAGTTCCATTAATCAAAACACAAAAGGAAAAAGAAAGAAATTGAGAAGCCAAATTTGGAAAGGTTTGGTGCCGATGAGCAAAAAATAAGAAACAATACAAAAAGAAGAAAAAACATGGAAGAGGAGAATAACAAGTGTGAAACTCACCTTGGTGGGTTCATCATCCATATTTATGTACAACATGAAGAGAACAAATATGCACATACACAGTGGTTGTGGTTCCATGAGGAAGGGGTTAGCGATATTAAATGTTGAGAAGGTTTAAGAAATCAAGGACACGCCCTGCTACAACAGGAACTCCAATGACAAGGGGAGAGAGAAAAATGAAGTAGGACAGGGGCACTTCAATATGTTTGTTCGCGAACGTCATCTAGATTCCTTGCAATTTTATAATTTTTGACTACTCCATTGCCAAAAACGTAAAAAGAGATCACCAGGAAAAGTTGGTGTTCCATGGATGGACCCTAACTCATTTGGAGCATTGAAGACGTTCCCTTTTCATTATGTTCTTGCTTTTCTTTATGTTACTGATTCAACTGATTCATTGGGAATCACATTTGACTGGTGGCAGTAGATGTATTATTTGCTCTAGGCTGTTTTGCTCCATTTCCCTGCCAAAAATTAAAAAAGTATTAAACACATATCAACATAAATTTGGGTGATAACAAAAAACACACTATCTTTGATAGTGCATCAAAATTAAACGCTAAAAATATTTAAATTTATTGAACTGAAATTCTGTTCGAAAAGCTTGTTGAACTGCATTTATACTTAAGGTTTTGTTAACTAAGTACCAAATACAACCAGCCAATGACACCCAAATCTGATAACCTTCACACCTGTTAGTCATTAGTGGCACATAATCTTCAAAGTATGGGAAATCAAACACATCTTGTATTCTTTGAAGAAATTCTAACATTGGCTCTGGGCATGTAGCAGAAGAAAGAGAAGCCAAAAGTCCAGTACATATATCTTGTAGCATTGAAGGTGATTTTTCCTGAACCCACTTCAAGTGCTCAATGGCAATTGGAATCTCTTGTGCATCCGCCAAACATTTCAACAAAATTACATGGGATTCTGCATGTCCTATATCATGATTGAGACTGCAAAGTAATTTGGATGCAGACGTAAGATGTCCTGCATGGAAAACATACAACATGACATGTTAACTTGTTACAAGCATTTTGCAACTTGTTAAGTTACAAATATTTGATCAAGTGAAAATACCTTTCCTGCAGAGAGATGATACAAACGAGCTCAATATGTTTCTTGCAAGGATGATGTTCTGTTTGACAGACTTGTTATAGAGCTCAAAAGCTGCTTCAAGCTTGTTTTCTTGGCAGAGCCCTTCTAGAAGAAAAGTATAACTAGTAACATCAGGTTCCAACCCCTTGTCTAACATGTGGTAAAAGAGCATTTGAGCCTCTTCAGCTTGTCCCACTTCAGAAAATTTTTGTATAAGAATGTTGTATGTTTTCAAGTTCCCGCAACAGCCACTTGAAAACATCTCATCCCAGAGCTTCTTTGCAGGACGCAGTAGATCCTCCTTACAACATGCTTCCATTATGTAATTATATGATGAGACATTGGGGCGGAACCCTTGCTTCTTCATCTCCTGCAGAGCAGCATAGCCTTCTCTCACTCTCCCAGCCTTGCATAAAAATGATACCATCACATTGTAACCCTCCACATCTTTGAAGTAGTTTTCAGAATTCAAAACATGGAACACCTCTGCTAATTCATCGACTTTGCCATGCCTACACAAGTTCCTACTCAAATTGCTGATGGTCAAAACAGTCGGAAACCTCTCTTTCTGAACCATAAACTTGAAAAACACAATTGCTGCACCAGGATCAACACTTGATACCGATCCTATCAATGCATTGAGAACATCATCCTCAACTGGAAAATTACCACCAACTATAACCTCCCCAACTTCTCTTGCTTCACAAATTCGCCTCTCTGAAACCAAGCCAAGTATCAAGTCTCTGTAATCGTTGCACCTGGGAGACACCCCTAGCTTCCTCTTCATTTTCAAAACCTTCACCTCATCAGCCACATTTCCCATTGACCGGAATGCTGCCGCCACAACCCAGTAAGCTATGAAATCAGGTTTCCAGCCCCTACTCCTGAGTTCATCCAACATCCACAAAGCCTCCGATACCTTACAAGCACAACACAACCCATGAACAATCAAAACAGCCACAACAGAACCATTAATCCCAGAACCACATTCCCTAACCTCATCCAACAAACTCAACACTTTCTCCAAATCACCCTCTCTACAAACCCGCCAAACAAACACCCCAAATCCCAGTGTACTGAAACCAACACCTCTCCCAATCATTTCATCAAACACCTTGTGTGCACTCTCCAAGTACCCATCAGAAGCAAGGGCAGCCAAGAGCGAGTTACAGGTGGCGCCCCCAATTTCAGCACAAAGAGGAGCAATGCCACTGAAGAGGGAAAAGGCTTCGTGGGCACGGTTGCAGGCAACATGGGATGCTATAATGGAGCTTAAAAGGGAGGGGTGAATGGGAAAGTTGAGAGCCTTGGCCTGCTTGAGGAGTGAATGAATGACAGTGAAGTGGTTGGTGTGTGAGAGGGATTTGAGGAGTGAGTGGAAGGTGAAGGTTGTGTGGGTGAAGCCGGGCTGCTGAGAGGCCCAATTGAAGAAGCCAAGAGCAAGGGAGTGGTGGGTGAGTAGGAAAGGGTCTATGACATTGGCCACCAGTGATGGGGTCAGGCATTGGCGCCAACCCAACCTGTGGAGTGTCTCCTCCACTTGTGGGCCCCACGAACAATGCCTTCCCTTCTTGTTTGAGGCTGAAATCACAGCCCTGCTTAGTCCTATTGCCAAATCAAATGCAGCCCTACCTTTCATCACTCTCATACTCATCCGTCAACTTGCCCTCTGCTCCTTCCTACATTAACATTGTCATCAATCAATATTGACTTTTAGCACTACCAATCCCCTACTGCCCTACTCCTAACTTCTTTATTATTTCATTGATAGCTACCTCTTTTGTTTGATTTGTCACCCTTATGTGTTACAAAAATTGGAATGTAAACGGCATTGGTATCAATGAATCCAATCATACCTGCCTAATTAATGACTAGATAAACTCGTATCCTTAAAATGTTGCGTTTTCAATGCTAATTAATCATACTACTTAGGAAATGCAGTTTTGGAAGGGATTTACATTGACTTTGCCATAGTGTCAGGTTCAACCCAACATTGCTATGATCTTGCAAGGCAATATCAGAGTATGCCGAACAGAAAAAAGATATATATAAGTGCAGCTCCGCAGTGTCCCATCATAGACAAATGGCTAAATGCTGCTATAGAAACTGGTCTATTTGACTACATTTGGTTCCAATTCTATAACAATACACCATTTGACTACATTTACGTAGACCTATACATACCATTAAACTGGAAATAAGGAAATTATGTTTTGTTTGGACGGGAAATTTTAAGAGAGTAATGAATTGGACAATGGGGAAATAAGGTAATATGAATCAAATGGAAAATTAAATTGCATTGAACTAGAGACCTGAAAACCAAGTAATTGTCAATTAAACAACGAATTTTTTGATGAGTAATTAAACAATGAATTTGAATTCCAGAAAATCAACTATCAAGTGCCTATGATTATAAAGAGCAGAAAATAAAACCCACTCACAATACACAAAGTCAAGAATATTAGCATTATGTGAACTACTCTCCCTGGACCAAGTTTGAACACCATAAGTGGCACAAGGCTTATCAATTGCAAGCAAGGATCTTAAGGAGGCTTATCAATTCATATACTTGAGAATTCAAAAATCCTAAAATAGTCATTATAAGTGAATACAAAAACAAAATCCAGCTTAACTAAAAAGCAAAATCAAATTACCAAACAGATGAACAGAAAAACCCTAAATTAAAGAATAAATCAGAGATGAGAAGAAATAGAGAGACAAATCAAAGATAAACCAAAAATAAAACACAGAAAATCTTAGATTATGGAAGAAATCAGAAATCACATGAAATACAGAGATAAATTAGGGAAAAACGAACCAGGAAGAAATCTCCAACAAGCGAGTGATGCGAGCCAGAGAAAGCGGGACACGAAAATTTTTAAATTATCTCTTTTTTTTTTTAGTGGAAATTGAAATCCCTAATAAAATATGAGTTCCTAATATTTAATTTTTTCTAATAAAATATCCAAATAAAAAATTTTGTCAAAAAATGAAATTGTCTTGTTGAGTTACTTTTCTTCACGAATTTGCTTTCTGCAATATTAAAATAATAATTAATTGACAAAATCACGTTTTGTATGTATTGATTAATCTTTAGATACTGTAGACTTAAAAAAAATACTTTTCCATTTAAAATTCAATATCTAAACATACCACCATAAAATTAAGGATGTTTTGATCACATAGATAGTGCTGACATCAATATTTAGAACTAAGGAACTAAGGACCCTTTGCTCCGGTTATTCACACAAGCGATAATGGTGTCCATATCATAAACCACAATAAGAAACCGATAAATGTGATAATTTCGCAACATAAATTTTGAAAATAGAATAGTAAGTTGCATGAGATAAAGTGATTTGCTTCATGTTATAAGGCAAATAGAAATCCAATGATTTACTTAGACATTGGATTTTGTAATAACTTCAACATCAACTTCCAGCCACTTAAAATTATCTTTGTTTTCAGATTGTAGTTTATTTTTATGCCGGAAGCATGAATACAAATATCAGCACTTCAATGGTATAATATATAATGACTCAGTTTGCATACAGTTTATAAACATTTTTAAAACTTTCTCAACTAAAAAATATTCTTTATTTTCGTTAGAGAAATTATAAAAATACTTGTAACTTTATTCTAACAAACTTAACATATACCTCCGAATTACAACATTTTATCACTGAATACATGAAGATGAAGTAATACAATACAATTAACATGGTCAATTGTTCATGATTGTAGGGCATTGAAATTTATAGATACTTCAAACAAAAATGAAGAAAGAAAAAAAAATGAAAAAGTTCTATGTTCCTTTTTCATAATTTGCAAAAAAAATTGTATTCAGCTAGTTCAGTGATGATCGTGAACTTCTGTGCATGGATGGCCATGGCCTACATCCACATCTATCTAGGAGATGATTGTCTGTCTCTGCTTAAGCTTTTCTGATCAATACTGGAATAGTTCCAACTTTCTAGATTTGAAGCACATAAAATGCAAGCTTAAATATCCATTGGAACTATACATGCAAAAATTTCCTTGGCATCAACCAACTGAATAAGAACAAGCATCTCTCAATTATTGTAAAGTGGCAAGAATAGATGTCCATGTTGCTGTGGCCTTTTGTTATGTTATCCGCATCCCGTTCTGTCTTTAGAGTAATGCAAGTCTATTAAAAGGAACTATGTGGACAAGCAACTGAAGCCAGTTCATGTATACTGTACAGTATACACCAAACTAGGTGACTAGAGCCACATAAATCTCCATTGGCTGCATCAACTAGGTCAGTGAAGGCCATATAGAACCTTGCGAGGATCCAATTGTCCACTGCAATAGCTTGATGAAACAGTAGAGAGTTCCTGATATCCCATCCACTCTTCAGAGGGCTTTAAGAGAATGGGGGTATCAATAGCTGCAGAACTCATACATATCATGATCTTGTAATCATCATCTGCCAAATCAGGGATAGCCTTAGCCTTCTTACCCCAGGGATTCCATACCACTGCATTCCCATCGTCACAAATCAATAAGTGAGATGTACTAACTTATTTGTATCAAGAGTATGTTTGAATACAAATCTAAAAAAACTTTTAAGAGTTTTTTATTTATTAAAAACATATTTTTTTCAATAAAACTTTTTTCAAAAGTACTTATAACTTGTATCTAAATAAACTCCAAATGTAGATCAAAACAAGAAGCTAATGTAAATGTGAATGCCAAATCCGGCTCCTCTAAAGTGAAAATTTCACTTAAGAGAGTAAAGTAAGTAATCCTTGTCATTGATGAGAAAATTAACGGTTGATATCTTGTGCACTTGCATAACAAATCATGAATGTATTGAAATATCAATTGTTGATTTTTTTTCAGCAGCAACTCAAGATCATTTTACCCTCTGAAGAACTTGTTCAATTTAGAAGAGCCAAATCCATGAATGCCAAATAGAAACAATTTCGGGCAAAAAATTTATTCCCTGACTATTAACAACCTGCATCAGGCATTCCTTTCTTCTGGAGTACAAATGTTCTTTTTTTCTCATGGTCTATGATGGCAATTTTAGTTGGGCTGTTCAAGTACACTCTGTCCATCTACAAGATAAGCACAAATGTCCTTAGATAACACTGAAAAAAAATGATTTGGTATCTATTGCATATATTCAAACATGAGATAGTCATTAAGAATATATATGTGTATAGGTTATGCTTATGATTTCAATTGCTCAATTTTTGTGAGACACCTCCAACCAATTGAACGAAAGGAGCAGAAAATGGAATTATACCTCACCATCAAAAGTAAGTGCATCTGCCTGCTCTGTAAACCTTGTTCTGTTCATCAGATTGTCAAAGTAATCAAGCGTCTCCAATCCCTCAATACGCACTTCACTGCATTTTATTTCAACCTCTCTTAGTGACATTTAAGCAAGATCATTCAAATTAACATGCTCTAGTTATAGCATTCATAGGTTGTATAAATGTGCAAAACTACATGCAAGGAAACAGCAATGAAGAATTGATGATTTGAAACACTCTAGGCGTCATATTGGAACAAAGTAAGCAGGTAATCTATATGTAAGATACACACCTGATATCTGATACAGACAAAAAGTTGCATAGAGCAAAGGAGAAAGAAAATGCTTTGTTATCCGTGTTTCTGATGCGTGGAATCAAAATTAGCTTGCCAGCAATGAGAGAGATGCGAAGCCGGAACTCAAAACTGAAGAAAAAGCCAAATGAAGAGATATGCATAGGTTAGACATTTGATGGTTACATTCTTAGAAAGTGTATTGGAGCCTAATTAAACTTTACAGAACCAATTTTGTAAAGTTTGATTAGACTCAATTCCACTTCTAAAATAGTATCAAAACTTATCTTAATAATTATAAATTGTTGTTTAACTTATTAGGCTACTTAATTATCAGGTTACTGCCTACACGCTATTGAGTAGTATTTCATTTTCAATGAGCAGAAAAGTAGAATGGAAGTGGGAAAAGGTGGCAAACACAGTTTGAATGCATATATACCTACGAGGTGTCTTTAAGTCAACTCCTGTTGACTTCAAAATTAGATCCACAGATGATTGATTGTCTATGGGTGGAAGAGGTGAAGGGTTCCAATCCAATGACCACATCCTGTTTCTTGCAAATCCATGTTGTTCAAGTGAACCTAAATCACCAAACTGGAACAGAAATTGTAGTTGAATGGAAATGTTGAACATCAGCATCGACAAAAGTCGAATATGTTTACACCAATGTGATGAAATATGAAACTAACCCGTGCAAAGCAAGCTGATATTCCTCCTCTGATTGCTTTATGCTGTTTCCAGTTAGTCTGTACAACAGGAAATACCCATAAATGACATTAACTATGCATGAAATTATCGCAAGTAAATGAAACAAATTCAAAATACATGAAATTTTCATGCCAGAAATTTAAAGTAAAAATAAACTATAGAATATAATGAGAATTAAGAAGAAATTCGATCATTAAATAAGAGTCAGGTTGAGCAAAAAAAAGGAAACATGAACTTAACTTCAAGCTCTAATGTTGCATTTCACTGTAGTGCTTCTTATGAATGTTTTTAACATTCATATAACTACGGACTTCAAAATGACTACATGTTATATTGCATTGCTATCATTGCTGCAGCAAAGATTGGCCTTCAAAATGCAAAGCATCTTATGTATAGAGTCACACCACCGATGCAATTAAGGTAAAATATCCAGTAAAATTTAATTTGAATGCAATTGTCATTCGATGCTAGATTGTTATGTACGGTAAGATTGTTAACTTTTGTAATAATTAATTTATAAGATACATATTTGGGTGATTTCGAACTGGATCAAAGTATGAAAAATAAAAAATCAGTTTATTCACTATACATGAAAATTAATCTCTTTTTACCTTACTGCTCACAAAAAGAAGTTCTTCCTTCCGTTGATTCTTCCAAGAAACTATCTGCCCTCCATACAGAAGCACCTGAGATCATATATTCCAAACAGTTGAGGAACTAGTGTGAAATTAAAACTCCCATAACACATGGCTGATTTTATTTTAAAACTATAATCATATTGGCCCAACAGTATTGAATACAAAAAAATAACATATATTCTGTATTCAAAGTAAAGTTGTTGCCACTAACTGCTGTTCAGATGAAAATAGATTATCAATGAAGTCCAGAGTATAAAATAATTTCTCAAAAGCCTTCAGAAGGTATTGCCAACTAAGAGATTCTATAACTTCATCTGAAGTTGGTCATAAGCTATACAATCCATAATCAACCCACCAAATTCAAACCGTAATATGAGCATAAAATATCAAGCGGGGAAATCTCATTTTTTTAAGCATTTTACTGGTGCAAAATATTCATTGGCTTTGTTGATGACTAAGATCTATATTCTCTTGACTCAGTAGAATTTCTCCAATCACTTTTTCCTATCTATAAGACTCAAGAGAAATATATTCATAAGCACAAGAGAAACACAGAAAAGCTGAAACCAACCTCAGCTGATGAACCTTTTGGCTCAGTCAATATAATCCGTGGCAATCCATCTTTGTCCTGAAATGTATTCAACGGCATCGGTGTTTGTTTACTTCAACCTTGCTCTTATGCCACTCACAAATGGATTCACTTCCACCTTGCTCCAATCCAGCTGCAACCGGGCCAAAACCAGAAACAGATTTCAGTTTTCATCTGCACAAGCCACCGTAACAAACGCACCATACACAAACAGAAAAGATATGAGAGATTCTATGGTACCTGATAAGTCTAGAGATTTTGTATGGTACATCTAGTTTTTGGGCCACGAGTCATATGCGTTCGCGTAATGAAACCATGTTATCTATTTTTCTACTATTTAGTATGGAAACTAAGAACTAAACACTAATGCAACTATTGGTCTAAACACTAACCATGCATAAAGATTGACCACCAAAAACCCTTTTGCAACACACAAAGACCCTTTAGAAGCAATTACCTATTGAATTCTATGAAAAAAAAGGGGCTAGCGTAATTTGGTGGTACTAGTAATATATTATAATAAAGTGTGTATCAGTTTGGAATTCCAAGAGACAGCCAATAACTCTGCGTTTGTTCAAGAGTTCATGTTAGACTTTGTATGGTATATATAAGGCTATTATAGAGATGATTGGAGTCCAGACAGTTTGTGTTTATATAATTTATTTAAAAATTTAAAAGTAAAAAAAAATTGAGATTAAATAATAAAAGTGATTGAGAATTTAAGTAGTTAGAGATAATTATCTTATTTAATTGGTCTCACAGATGATTAATTATTAATATTATTTAAAAATTTAAGAATAAAATTATTTAAAAAAATGTGGTGATGAAAAAATAGTTGTAAATTTGTGTACCCCTTTTATATATAGATTAATAAAGTCAAGATATTTCATATTTTTATATTTTATTTAATAAAAATATTTAAAAGTTACTTATATTTATTAAATAAACTCATTTTATATTTGGTCCTCAAATCTCAAAGTTCTTAAAATTTTGTATTTGTAAGAATATTATATTTTATTATTTAAAAATTTTAAATATATATATATATATATTAAATTATACGATCGTCTTCATATTTTATAGATTATAAATATAGATATAGTTAACGTTAAAGTTGGAGAATATCCAACAGAAATCAACCGTTGGCATCGGATTCTCTGTTGTACGTGTCTTTTTCAGAAGTTAACTATCTGAAATGTTGGCTTCTGGTTGGGCCACTTTGTACACGTGACCAATATTTCTGCCATATCAAAGCATAAGAAAAATAAATTATTGATAATATGAACGGTGGTGCTAAATTGCATAAGTTGACCAAAATCAAATCGATAACAACTCTGAAATTGAGATTGGTGGTGCTGATATGTTTCTGTGCAGTGGGGCTTTACTGTTTTGCAGTTTTTAATTCGCCAAGTTTTCAATTCTATAATCAAAGCATTGAAATTTGAATGCGTTGGAGCATACTCAAATGAGTGAAATCAGAAGTTTGTGAGTACTGTGCAAACAGAAAAAATAAGCTCTAGAAATAAATTAAGTGAGTATTTCAATCTTTTGATGTAATATTAATTACTACTTTTTTGGTTCATTTATATTCCTAATTTAAAAATCTATTGCGCTGTATTTTTTTATATAGTAAAATAAGATAATTAATATGATTAATTTTGTATAATTAATTTTTGTATTTATTAACTTTTCTGTGTAAAAAAGTCTAAAACGAGATGAAGAGTATATATACTCTTCGTTTTTCAAGTTCTTTATTGGGAATGTAAATTACAAATTTCGATACATTAATTCAAGCGAATAATTTTAAGATCATTAAATTGATAATTGAATTTCCAAATAAACAAAATTGATAGTAGTAAGTAAATAGTGTTCACTATTGACATGATTCACAATTTCTAAAGAGATGATTCTTTAAATTATAAAAGCTTAATTGGTGTTATTTAAAAATTCTATCATTATATGAATAGAGATTTTTGAGATAAGAAAGAAATATAAGTGACAGAAAATGATTTTATATAGAATATATTATTGTTTCTTGTAATTCTTGAGCGTGAAACTGGACTGTGTTTAATAATGAATAATAATATACTATAATGGAAATATTTTAAATGTCTCAAAAACTTGTAATTCTTATTTAAAACAATTGATATTTTTTTTTTGAGTTTCCATAATTATAAGCAAGCAGTATAATTATATATATTAAATTTGTTTCTATTATTTATTTATTTATTTTACTTTTTGTAAGACTCGTAAACTTTCTTTACCCTCATTTTCTCCCAAACCTTCATTGTAGTTTTCTTTTCCCCAAAGTTGATAAAGTGGTGAGAACCAGAGCTGTGAAGCAAGGTTCATCATCCATTGTTTTTCTTCTTCAACCTCGAAGTTCTGCAGACATTCGTGGCAAGTTCATCAGCTTGGTGAAGATTTTTTGGGATGCAGCTACTGGTGAGGTGACCTGGGAGGTGGAGAGTCAATTCAAGGAACGGTATCCATTCCTCTTTCTAGGTATATCCAATTATAGGAACCAAGTGGGTTTTTAGAAATAAGCTTGATGAATCTGGAATCATTATAAGAAATAAGGCAAGGTTAGTGGCTATAATCAAGAAGAGAGAATTGATTATGATGAGACTTTTGCCCCTGTAGCAAGGATAGAAGCCATTAGATTACTTCTTACTTATGCTTCAATAATGAATTTCAAGCTTTATCAAATGGATGTGAAAAGTGCTTTTCTAAATGGTTTAATACAAGAAGAAGTGTATGTGGAGCAACCACCAGGTTTTGTTGATTGTAAGTATCCTAATCATGTGTACAAACTTAAAAAGGCACTCTATGGCTTGAAACAAGCTCCAAGATCATGGTATGACAGGTTGAGCAAATATTTTTATTGAAAATAACTATGTTAGAGGTAAAGTAGATAATACATTGTTTGTAAAGAAGTTTAAAAATGATACAATTGTATGTTCAAATCTATGTGGATTTTGGATCTGCTAATATCTCTCTATGCAAAGAATTTGCTAAGACCATGCAAGGTGAAATTGATATGTCAATGATGGGAGAGCTTATATTTTTCTTGGGGCTGCAAATCAAACAAATGAGTGATGGAATCTTTATAACTCAAAGCAAGTACTGTAATGAACTGTTGAAGAAGTTTGGTGTGGAAGGGTGTAAGGAGGCTGCAACACCAATACCAAACACATGCAATCTTGACTTGGATGAGAAAGGGATAGCTGTTGACAACTCCAAATATAGAGGTATCATTGGATCACTTTTATATTTGATAGCTAGTAAGGCTGATATAATGTTTGTTGTGTGCTTGTGTGCAAGATTTCAGGCAAATCCAAAAGAATCTCACATGAAATCTGTAAAGAGAATTCTTAAATATCTAAGAGGAACAACTAATGTAGGTTTATGGTATCCAAAAGGGGTCTCACTAAGTCTGATAGGTTACTTGGATTCAGACTATGCTAGGTGTAGACTTGATAGGAAAAGCACAAGTGGAACTTGTGCACTAGTCTCATGGCATAGTAAAAAGCAAGCTTGTGTTGCTTTAAGTACAACTGAGGCTGAGTATATAGCTGCTAGCCTTTTTAAGTTTGTACACATGATTAGGATACTTACAATCAACAAAACCTGGTGGTTGCTCCACATACACTTCTTCTTGTATTAAACCATTTAGAAAAGCACTTTTCACATCCATTTGATAAAGCTTGAAATTCATTATTGAAGCATAAGTAAGAAGTAATCTAATGGCTTCTATCCTTGCTACAGGGGCAAAAGTCTCATCATAATCAATTCTCTCTTCTTGATTATAGCCACTAACCTTGCCTTATTTCTTATAATGATTCCAGATTCATCAAGCTTATTTCTAAAAACCCACTTGGTTCCTATAATTGGATAATCATTTGGTAATGGCACTAAATCCCAAACTTCATTTCTTTCAAATTGATTTAGTTCCTCTTGCATAGCCATTAACCAATGTTCATCTTGTAGTGCTTCATCTATTGTCTTAGGTTCAACTTGTGAAACAAAAGCCATAGTATTACAAATATTCTTGATGGATCTTCTAGTTGACACTCCTTTACCAATATTTCCAATTATATTTTCCATTGATAAGTTATATATGTAAGGAAAGCAACTACGCGCGTAGTGGAAAATATTTATGGTATGGTATGATGTATATAATATTATTATTATACATGTGTTTTCTAGCTACAAATATTATATATATATATGTATGTATGTATATTACTGAGATTAATATTAATACGACTAGGCATTACAGTAAATGAGTAAAATTCGAGCAATAATTAGGTGAGCTAAGAATTGAGTAAACACCCAACTTGATCCCTAAAAGATGGTAGAAGTGACCGATAGGTCCATAAAATATTTTTTGTGGAATCAAAGTCCTTAAATTTTAACTTCGTTAAGCAAGTTGGCCCTTCCATTATACTTAATTATTAACTTTGTTAATTTCTTGAGCAGCAACAATTAAGTGTCAAGTTGATACTTATTCTGATGGACCATTGGCCAAGGGCCCAATTACCAGAGCTATGGCCAAGAGTATACAGAAAGGGTTGGATAACTTGAAGATTAGTGGGCTCTCTAAGCCCAAGGTAATCTTCATGTGGACCCCCATATCTTGAAGAGAAGGCCTAGTTCATTTGTACATAGTTTTTCTTGTATAGGATCATTCTTGCCTTTATATTTGTGAGACACTTTATTTCTTTCTTTATAGACTATTTTATTGTGTATTTAGGGTAGGTTTCTTGGAGACTTTTTCTCCATTTGACCTTGTATTAAGGGTCACTCATTTTACATTTTTCAGTAGTAGAAGTGGGGTGACAATTAGCAAGGTGTGTAGGTGCAACTAGTAAATGGGCCAGAGTTGGGCCTAGGCCAAATTTTACATATTGGGTTTGTTTTTCTCCATATTTTCCAAGGAATTAATTTAGCTAGGCCTCACCATCATTTGGTGAACCTAACTAAACCAATTTTGAGATATTTGGATTGGACTAAGTATGGAAAATAGCCCATGGCCGCCCATCCCAACCTTGGCCGGATTTGCTTTTTCACTTGGCACCTTTGGGAAGCTTGTGCTACAAGCTTCTAACTTAGCTTGCTTCCCAAGCTACTAAGTTAGAAGCTTGCTCCACAAGCCTCCCAAACCATGGTGGACGGTCAAGCTAAGCCAACCATGGTTCTCTTGAACCATTGTTAGCTTAGCTTGCTCCACAAGCTTCCCTACTCTATATAAACCTATTTCTAACCTTTGTAATCACTTTTGAGTTTATGAGATTAGAATTTTCACTAAATTATCTCTACTTTAAGAGTCCTACACCGTGGAGAATCATTCTCTCCTTAAGTTCTTTCACAAAGGAACTCCTCCTTTGTTATTCAGTTCATCTTTCTTCTTCATCTTCAAGAAGAAAATAGAACCACCTTAGTTGCTTCAACCAAGATTTTGGAGCTTGGAGTGCTTCCGCGAATCCTTAATTAAAGACCTCAAGAGAATAAGAGGACGCTTGTAACGACCCGTCGTGGTCCCTACACTTAGTGGAATCCCTCTATTCATAGTAAACTAAGATGAATAATAAA